CGTATTAGTATGGTGTTCCTAATAATCCTTTAGGTGAGTGTATATTTACACATCCTTCTTCTATAACTGCTTACTCAGCACAGCATCACATCGAGCCTTCAGCCAATTCTAGGAAGCACAAGGCAGAGGAACAAGAATGCAAATGGACTGAACAAAACATCATTTATCAGACAAATAAAAATCTTAGACCAGCACTGACCATTTAGCACTTTACGGGTAACCAAGTGCATAGTATTACGACATGTTTGGTATGTCGCTAAGATACACCTTATAGTGGACGTAAAATACGAGGCTTAGAAAAGGTCCTTTTCTGTGGATGCACAGCCAGTGATAGCTGGGGCTAATAGAATTAGTTAAACAACTGCAGTCAACTGTACAACAGCCGAAACCACTCAGTGTTCTAGTAAATGAGATTAGTAACAGCTTAGTACTTAAACTGCTTAAATGTGATTACTAACTACTCATTACACACATATAAGTTTGCTTACATATTCAATCATGTTGTTAAACAGTAATGTTGCTGTTTCCTGTCCTTTAAGTAACAGATGATGCTGCTAATGTGGTTTCCAACATAATACTACTACTACTACTACTACTACTACTACTAATAATAATAATAATAATAATAATAATAGTTGCAATGTCAACCATGAGATTCTTCGTCTCAGGGACCCCTAGTGTCAAGTAGTGACATTTTCGGCAACACTTTACTTGAAGCAGTCTACATAAGGGTGACATGTAACCATCATAAGAATGACATGACACATGTCATGCACATTAATGACACATTATTGGTGTTTATGACTGTTGTCATAATGTGTCATTCAGTTCCAAAAACCGAATGACACATTATGACAACAGTGATGTTTATGACAACAGTTACATGTTACCCTTACTGTATGTAATCTGCTTCAAGTACAGTGTTACCAAATTTTCAGACTGTTTCCCAGCCATTCACTGGACCAGGAAGTCTCACCTACACCAGAATTACATACGTTTCAGATTAATATTAAACATTTGTCTATCTGCAGTAGAAAAACACCTTACCTGTAGCATTAGTGGTTTATATGCAGTGGCGATCAGTTCTGCCATCTTTGAGACTGAGTGATAAAGTAGAACCCAGCTCCTCTGAAGAATCTACACCCTCTGTTTCAACACTCACAACACTGCACACCCTTTCAGGCTTATACATTTACTCCTGGTCAAACAGGATGATTAAGACCACCAGATTTGTTTCATGAAAACAAAAGGCTTGGTAGGGTAAACTGCTGGACCATGTCCTCACAAGCTCAGGTCTGTCAGTGTGTTTGTTGACGAACCTTCAGCTCAAGTTGAAAATCATGTAAATCGAGTCCCGTTCTCTGTCTCATTTAAAAATATGATTCAGAAGATTCAAATCATTGTGGATACAGTAACATTTTTAATAGTAAAACTGTTTTATTAATATAAGGGTTTCTTTACAAATTGAGTCACTTTTGAATACTTTTTCTAAGCTAGGCAGAATACTTGTCTGGTATACAGTATCTTTTCTGCAGAATTATAAGAAATGTCAAAGGCCCCCTTTAGTCAGAGTTACAGGTCGCTTCATAATTCAAGTTTCCTGCTTAGTATATTGTTTTGACCATTTGTAGGAAAGTCAACTCAATTCAAGGATGGAACCACTTAATATTTTGTCACTGATGGGAACAGAAACCACTAAAAGAGTTCATAGTATGAAAGGCACGTGTCACTCAGGTCTGAGGGGGGCAAAAAAAACATGAACTCACACTCTCATCTGCTCAAGAAGTCAAAGCGACTATTGAAAATTATCATTAAAGATGGTGAAAAAACATGATTTTAGCCACAAACTGACCTGTTGCTGAACCATTCACTTGAATCACTCAATCTTTTGCTAAATTTTGGAATGTTGACGGAGGCAGAGTTGGGCTCCAGCAAGGGTGAATGACAGAGTTTGTGACATTCCTTATAATTCCGCAGAAACAATATTCTATACCAGACAAGTGTGTGTGCCAAGCTAATCTCAACACTTGTAAAATATTTGTGCCTAGCCTAAAAGACTGACTTTTGTAAATAAACCCATCTGTTAATAAAACACTGTATTACTATTAAAAAATGTTACTGAATCCACAATCGCTTGAATGACACAGAGAACTGAACTCGATTTACTTGAATTTCACCTTGAGCTGAAGATTCATCAACAAACACACTGACAGAGACCTCAGATTGTGAGCAACGTTGTGCAGCGGTTCACCCTACCTTGCTTTCTGTTGGGCAAGGTGCGATTTGGACATAAGGAGGCGGAGCTGGGCTTCGTCTATATTTAAAGCCTGTGTATAAACAAGGAAAGCAAAGGTCATGTATATATATATATGTATATATTATGAGAATACATTCAATCATCTGACGCACCCATATTTTGCCCCCTCCAAAATAATTATTTACTAAACTTGGGAGACACCTTTGTTGGAAGTAGATGGCATGCAAAGACTCATATTAAGAAAACACTTCTGATGGATTCTGAATATCCAATAATTATGCAAAATGTCAAAATGTTAAAGAGCTTTTATACATTTTAGATATAAAACAAATCAGTCTACCTGGCCATTCTGTTTTTATGTATTGTTATTCATCAAAGGTCATTAAAAAAAGCTTGGAAAAACATAAATGGACAGATTGAATTCTGCAGAGACACAAACAGCAGTAACCCTCTGATTATCGTCAGGAACACAGATCTTAAAATATTTCAATATCAAATTTAATAACATTTGAGTAATTTAATTGGATTTTTAAATGTATAGCCTCCACGTCTTCATTATTGCCACTTGAAGTATGATGTGTCTGATTTTTATATTAATAATAATCATGACCAAAATCAGATCCTGCACTGCGATATCACTGACCTCAAACTTCACACTTCCCCTTTGAAACTCGGCTGTCAGTGATTCACTGATCCAGTACAGAGAAGCTGTTATTGTCACTGGCTCAAGAGAAGTTGGAGATTCCTGAAAAATCCTTTTAATATTTTCAGTGACCCTTATTTAATGATCTTCTGATATAATATGTAATGACAATTTAATATGATAACATTATATTAATATAATAATATAATACTATTAGAATAATATTTTATTTATGGGTGGGTGTGCCCTACAATGGGTTGGCACCATCCTGGGTTATTCCCATTGCTTGTAGCATAGGCTCCAAACCCTTGTGACTCTGCATAGGACAAGTAGGTATAGAAAATAGATGGATGGATGGAAGGATGAATGGATTGATTTTATTCATGGTTACCATAAGACGACTTCTCACGCCTCTTTCTTTTTGAGGGCTCATCTCATACTCTATTGCTAAAACAGTTACACTAGTAGCCAAAATTGTGGAATATTTTCAGATATTGCCGAACTTTGTTCAACTGTTGCTCGAGTTACTTATCGGCCAATATATGTAAACATTGTAAATATTCTTTGATTGTTTAAAAACATTACTGCCAGTATTGTGTAGTAATTTTTAACGTGACTTGCCAATAACACTAGGTGTTTCCACAATTTTTGACGCTAGTGTAAGACATTCCACAAGGTCACAGTGCGATTTGCAGCATGTTTGCTCTAAGAGGCTTTTCTCTGACACTCCTATCATTGTTCTTTTTTTAGTCCATTTGTGAGCATATCTGTGGTTTATTCACAGTGCTTGAACTTTGACCTCTGTTTCATTTACCTCATCCAACTGACAACACAACTGTACCTTTAATGCAGCTAAGGAATTGGAGTATGAGTTAATTTCTCCTTTCTCACCCAAATCATGACATACATACAGGAAAAAGGCAGATAATCTTTGGTTCCTGTTAAATCTCAAGCTGGTGTCTCTGTTCAGTAACTCCATTCCGGAATCCAACACTGTCACCACATATCACCCAAAAGCATGTCTATCATTTCTCTATGGATCATTAAAGCGTTCGAGATTCCAGCAATGAAATGGAAGAGTCCAGCTCCAGGATTCCCCATTATTGCTGCATGCTGACAGGACGTCATGAGGCATAATTATTATTGTACTGATTTCAGAAACATAGATGCTGGATTACTGGAGGTGACAAAATAAATATGTTCAGTCAGACCACAGAGTCACATTTTTTCTCCAAGCAGAAAGTGCTTTTTTAATCACTAACACAGCAAATCAGTCTCAAGATGAGGACGAGACAAACACATATACACATATGCATAAAGCCTCATTAATCATAATGACTTAAAATTAAGTCAGTAAAAACTCTCCCCTTATCTTCCATTAACTAAGCCTGACTTGCCCTATGATCCATGCCCTACACCCTGTGCTGCTTGCGATGATGGGCAAGCAGAGGACAAAATGGACATTAATTTTAACTTATTTAAGTCTTTTCAGTCTGTGATTCGTCAATCAGTTTGCTTAATGAGTGATTCATTGTTCATTATTTTTAATGAGTGATTCATCTTTTCATTCAGACCATTCACTAGTGAACTTGATCATGCCATTCACAACCTATCTTTCACCACCCAATGGTGATATAATGCAAACTCCACACACACACACACACACACACACACACACACACACACACACACACACCCATGGCTGGGACTCAGACACTGGCCCTTGAGGTGTGAGGCAACAGTGCTAACGCAAAACTGATGTCATATGTGTCTGTCAATTTGGTTCAGTCGTTTGATTGCATGTGGGGGGGAGGGGTGGTATCAATCGAACAGGCCAAACATCTGACTCTCTAGGTTGCCTACAGGTTTCTTGTGACATAGAAAATAGATATATAGAACATACAAAGCAACAGAACTCAGCTGCCATAGTTCCATGCTTTTATATTCAATTGTGGATGAGGAAAGCAGGAAATGTTATTCAAATCAGCAGGTCTGTTCACTAGAAGTGAAAAGCAGATAAGATTAAATAAAAGCTCATAGAGAGCCAGTGACCGGAAGATATGCCATTGGTATACAAACAGTCAATTGTAAAAGATGAGACAATAACAGACACCTTTATATAAAGTCTAAAGCTCACCTTATACAGTGCTGGTTTTATGGTTAGGGGGAGAAAAAGTTAAACCAGCTCTTCACACTTGCTTTACAATGTCCAGATCACTGAGTCATGGCCTTTTCATAAGAGTTAGCAGTTAGCACTCTGTGATGTATGAAAAGCATCCATCCATCTTCTGTTACTGCTCATCCTATTGGATCCTACCCCTGAGGTTACAGGTGTAAGGCAAGGAATGACCTAGGATGGTGTGCCAACCCATTGCAGGGCACACTCACACCTATGGGCAATGTGGCAACTCCGAATGACCTCAGCATGTTTTTGGACCACGGGGGCGGGAAACCACAGAGTTCCCAGAAGAAATCCTGCAAGAACACAGGGAGACCATGCAAACACCACACAGCAGGGCAGAGATTCAGACTCAGGTCTCAGAGATATAACTGCAATAACAATGTTAACTTCTGCACCCTCCCATAGCAAAAAAACCAAAACCAACTAAGTTCATTAAAATACTTTCACTTTGTGTATTACTAAGTATACTTGATATCATATTTGTGCAATACTTCATAAATGCAAACTGCAACCATCTGTAAGGCTAATGCTGTTGTTTTAAGTAACATGCTATTTCCAGCTCTCTGTAAAGTGTTTTCATCCTCATCATGTATCAAAGAACATAGCAGATGAAGAGGAGAAGGCTACTCAGTTCAGCTTATTTACATGTTTGAATGTATGAGTATGTGTTGTTTGCAGTAGGTAGAAGACCAGCTCTGGAGATGCTGGCAGCTAAGAAATAAGTGCAGGGGCAGGTCAGCCTACAGAGGACCCCCCCCCCCCCCCCCCGCCCAAACTGCTCTAGGCTCCCTTCCTATCCTTCCTATTTGTTGGTACTTAGCAATCACAAATTTCAGTCTTATACGATTCTGTATGTAGAAATGGTGCCTCTATCCGTTACCTTTAAGCACTGCAGGGAATCCCATGCCTGTGTATTTAAACAGGAAATGTTGTTGGGAAGACTGAGGAAAAACATCCTCTTTAAACCTGGTGACTTTCTACATGTCCTTTGTGAATATATTATGACATATTGATGTCTTTGATGACTGTATAATGAATCATCTGAAAAAAATTAAACCACTATTTTTGGAATTAATGGGGAAAAATGAGGGTTACAAGTGGTACAGGGACAATCAATTAATAGGATAATGTGGCCTTATAACATGTTTTTCTTTTTTCAGTCTTAATGTTAATCACAGTCCCTGCCATTCTGAGTCTTAATGTTAATCACAGTCCCTGCCATTCTGATTCTGGCATCAAAT